AAAGAATTAGAAGAACGGTTGAACAGAGACATCATTAAATCTCATTCCAACACACATGTCCGTAATGAAAAGCACAAAGTAAACTAATTCGGAATACATAAATTGCATCAAAAGTATGTACCTATATTAACATCTTTAAGTTTAACCATAGAACATTTTATATTTCTCAGCAAAATATTTGAAACATTACCAAGAAACGCCAGTTTACGAAATTGGTTGATCAGAAGTACTAGCAATAGACAAACTATATAGCTTCATCGCAGCTTTGATGGGAAATTTAAAAGGAGAAAAGCTTTGAAGAAGTGTTCACTTACATATGTTTTGCCATCTCGACTCTTAACAAACCTATGGCGAACAATATTATTCTCCAAACGAATACGCTTCTTTGCTCCAGGTTCGTCTGTCACGAATCTGTCTTCTTCAACGAATGTTTTGGCATCAAATGGCTTTGGATCAATTCCCATGATATTGGAAACTTTTATCATGTTCATCTGAAAAAAAAAGATCAAAGAGAAAATGGTAATGGGAGGAAGAGCATTTTTGCTACAGAACATCTTAACCACAGATAGACAACTAGAAAATGGGGTTTCAGATATAAGACTGAATAGCCCTCTTCTGTACAACAAATGACGGTTCATGCTAAGTAGATGCAATGGTTCTCCACATAAAAGACATCAGATACTCACTCTTCGAACCACAATGATATGAGACATTTTGATAACTTGGAAATACCAGAAAGGAAACTATTGATTCGAAGCCATGTCAGCGAGTAATCTTTTAGCAACATAAAGCAGGTATACCTTAACGGGGTCACCTGGAGGAGGGCGGAAAGGAACCTCCACTTCCAAAGGGGGACCAACTGGCTTCTCCCTGTACCTAGCTTCAACATGCTCAGCTTCTGACTCGTATTGAGGATCCTCTTCAGGGACCATATCATCAAGTACCATATCATCAGGTCTCAGATCCTTCTCAGAGCCCTCTTCATCTTCGATTGGCGATCTCTAAAAAATTAGACATCTCATCATACATACATGCACATTTCTATGGTTTCTAAGAGGAAGCAAGCACTGGAACGGGAACAGATATTCTGTAAACTGAAATGTAATATTAGATGCAAGACTCACATGCTCAACGTCATTCCGAACATATTCTTCTGCATCTTCATCATCCGAAGATCCAAAAACATTACGAATATTTACGTCTGACTGTGCAACTTGAGTCTCTTCCTTCTCCTCACTAGGTGACGTACCCACCATGGCGTTTTTCCATGTAGAGGAGACAAAGTGATCCATAAGAAAAATTGAACACCCAAGGAACCTCAGATACCCTCAGATGACAAGCAAGTATTATCAAATCCAGAGCAGAGCAGAAAATTCAAAAAAAAAGCTACAAAACAGCTAGGAATAATAGAAGGGGGAAAAGGGGTACCTTGGACTCCTAGTCTGATCAACCTCTTCATCTTCAGACTCGTACTGCTTTTCACCGGACCTCTCTGATCCACTCTCAACAACGTCCTGCCTCCTGTTTTTGGCTACTCTACCCCCATGTTCTTCTTCTTTGTTATCACTATCACTATCTCTTGCTTCACTTTCCTCTTGTGGATCATCAACATCAACCTCCTGTGAACTTTGCTCTCTCTCACCCTCACTTTCTCCAGGATCAAGTTCTACATCTCCCTGTTCCCCGTCAGACTCAACTTCAGGCTCTCCGTGAACTTCAACCTCAGCTTCACCTTCTCCTTCAGGCTCCACCCCGCCCTCGGCCTCATCCTATTGGTGTTTGCATTGGAAATCTCAAGTAAATTTCACTGATATTGGATAATTCCGTTTATAGAAGAAGCAAAAAATCAAACAACATCATGGATTACACAATGCCAAAGAATCAGACAATAAATCATCAATGGATTATAGTCTAGTTGATATTAGGAAGAACTAAAGCTGAATTAGGCCTAATAAGTTGCATTGGTTCTTGCAATTCAGCCTAAAACCCTAAATTGAGGCGAGAAGAACTCCAGAAACCATTCGCATTCCAAGGTGTAATTCAAAAACAGTGGCAGTGAAAAATACGAAAACTGAAACAATCAATAGCGATGAAACGAAGGAGATAAAGAGGGAGAGAGTTACAGAAGCGTAGTTTGGCTGACGATTGGATTCATGTTCGGATTCGATCTCTTCTTCCTCGGAATTATCTCCGAACAGATTATGCATAATATCGGATCTCTTTTCTACTCCAACCATCTCGGATCTCTTTTCTACTCCAACCATATTCGCCTCTCTTACTCAAAAAAGCCACTGCCTCTAGCTGGTGACGGTGGCTCGTGATCGGAGCTCCGACGAAGGGTTCACTATATCGGCCTTTGTTCCTTAAGTTGAACAAACTAATCTTTTTTTCGTCTCTACCTCGCGAATTTTTATGACATCAGAAAAAACAAATTAATAATAACAATAAAACTGTTTCAAGGAAAAGGAAATTTTCATCGATATATCTAATTTGATTTTTAAAATTTTTAAAATAAACATTAAATTATTTTAGATGATCTTCTATATATTAAAAAAAAGTTTTTAGGGACTTTAGGGAAACGTAGTTAAACTAAATCAATGTCAAGTCCACAATTATTTTAATCTTTTTCATTTTTCATTTTTCATTTATTTAGTTCTATTATTTATCTTAATTACATGGCATGGATTCCTACATAATTAATATTTTTAAATTTGTGTGAGATAAAAATATCGATTTTAATTTGTTCAATAACAGTTTTACTATTTTAACCTTAATTAGTATGGTTTTTTTTTTTGTGCACGGCGTTAATTAGTAAGACCATTATTATTGGTAGGTTCTTAGCAAAATCTTACGTAAATCTTAAGTATTAAAAAATATTTAATTAAATGGCAAATGGTAAGATTGGTAAGAAATGTTTTTTAGCTAAGAGCCAAAACATGTCTGTAAGAGGTAAATCTTAAGATTTTAATATTAAAAATTTACTAAGAGCCATTATTAAAAAACATTTGATAATCATGCCCCTAAGGTTTAAAAATGACATTTACTTATAAGGACGTTTATTAGAGAGGAAAAAATATGGAATTTTATGGGCTTCTTTGAGATTGGAATTCAATATTTTTGGGTTATGTGTATCATGGTTCTTTGATACAAGACATCACCAGTTTCTTTGTAATAGTGAGCTTGTGTTTGCCCCTGTGTATATGCTACAACAACCTTTTAAAATTTTCACTTCTTTGATCAAATAACTTGAGTTGCCAAAAGAAATATTATGTCTTCTTCTAAAACACTGATGTTTAAATTTTACAAAGTTTCACTAATTTAAAAATTTTGGAGTCAATTAATAAAAATTAACATTTTTTTAATAAAATTCGGATTTCTTCTCTTTTAATCTGTACTAGATCCTGACCCGCACGAATGTGCGGGAGAAATTTTTTTAATGAATGTCTTTACATAAAATTTGTATTTATATATTATTTTGTTGGTTAGTGAATTATATAATAGTATAGATACCCTAAACTTAGCATAATAATTGTAGAATTATGTTTTGTGTTTTAAAAATAGTTTGGTGCATAAGTTTGTGTTTTCTATTTGATTAGTTTTAAATTTAGAATTGAAAGTTGAGAGTCAGATTTAAGTAATTTGATATGTGTTTTTTTAAAATATATAAATTGGTGCATAACAAATAATTTGAACAGTTAGAGAAGTTATGTGTCTAAAAGTTATTATACAAATGTTAAAAATTGAAAGAATGTAATATTTTAAAATTTATAAATTAAATATTTGGTAATGCAACATAATTGTTTATAAATTACTATTCAGTAATTCTCAAACATTTTTACCGAAATATAATTTACTGGCACAATAATCAAACCGAGATATTTTTTTGTGGGCGGAATATAATGTTAATGTTGACCCAATTATAAAGCCTCCTTCACCCATTTAATATTCGTTTAAATAAATTGATATTTAGTATATTAATGAATTTTAATTTATTTATGAGAAATTGTTAAAAATGCCCATTTTTCAATACCCCTTTTTAAAAATGCCCCCTTTGAGAGTCCATTTTTAAGTTTGCCCTCTTTTAATTTTTAATGACCATTTTACCCTTATTTGAAACAAAATTATGTCCACAAAATACAAAATATTTTTTGGCGGGAAAAGTGATCCCGCAATTTTCTCGCCAAAACACTTGTAAAAACCTTTTAAAAACCTTGTAAAATTTTCCCGTAAAAATTTTTCCCGCCAAAAAAATTTTTTTGCGGGAAAAGTGATTCCGCAATTTTTTTTGCGAAATTTTTTTGGCGGGAAAATTTTTGGCGGGAAAAATTTACAAGGTATTTTAAAGGTTTTTTACAAGGTATTTACAAGTATTTTGTAAGGTTTTACAATGTACTTTTAAGGTTTTATAAGGTATTTATAACTTGTAAAACCTTATAAAAAACTTGTAAAACCTTATAACTTGTAAAAACCTTATAAAATAGCTTGTAAAATCTTATAATATCTTATAAATACCTTGTAAATACGTTGTAAAACCTTTTAAAATACATTGTAAAACCTTATAAATACCTTGTAAAAAACCTTTAAAATACCTTGTAAATTTTTGGCGGGAAAAATTTTCCCGCCAAAAATTTAACGCCAAAAAAATTGCGGAATCACTTTTCCCGTAAAAAAAATTTTTTGGCGGGAAAAAATTTTACGGGAAAATTTTACAAGGTATTTTAAAGGTTTTACAAATTTTTACAAGTGTTTTGGCGGGAAAAATTGGGGGATCACTTTTCCCGCCAAAAAATATTTTGTATTTTGTGGACCTAATTTTGTTATATTTTCCTTATATATTTATGATATTTTTTATTAAAAGAAGGGTAATTTAGTCATTTTGTACATAAAAAGGGTATTTTTAAAAATAGACATCCAAAGGAAGTATTTTTGAAAAGGGGTATTAAAAAAGGGGCATTTTTGTGAGTCTCCCTTTATTTATTTGGACAGATTTATTTTATATTTTAGAACAATCGTTATTGTCCTTGTTGCTTCTTACTGCCTAACACGTGTCTGAGTGAAGACATCTCTTCTTCTTCCTTAACGTATCATCGACTGGACTTTTAATGGGCTGCTTAATTTTGTAAACCCATTATGTACTCTTGTTGATGTATGTTGTCTTATATCAATAAAATTCAGAGAAAAAAAAAAGAATAATCGTTGTCTCATCTTTAAAAAAAAAAAAAACCCACCGAACAAACGTAAGAACTTGGCTCGATCGAAGAATCAATTGCGACAGCTATTTCGTCTCCGTTTATACTGTGTTGCAAATCGTGAATTCTTTAAAGAGGTAAAGTTGCTATTGAATCAGATCTATAGTTTTACTGCCTCAATTCCCAATCTGTGAATTTTTATGTTTGAATAGAGATCCTTGTCCAAGGATTGTCAAGAAACCAGATCTTCTACGGGTAACTATTGTCAATTGAATATCCAAATTTTTGTTTTCACTGAATTAAATCAACTAACACGAATTTGATTTCGTGTAGTTTTTCTCGTTAGCTACAGAAGCAAGATGAACATTAAAATTCCAGTTTACTGAGCTTTTTTTTTTTAAACCCATCAATTTTTTACAGTATATTTATGTTAGCTGAAAAGATTTCTACTTAATTTAGCTTCTATATATATTTCAAATATAATGATGTTAATGGAAGAAAGGGATAAACAAAGAAAGAAAAACTGATACGATTATTAGAAAACAATAGCTATTACCAAAAATTTAAACATGGAATGTATTCAGGTCAAGTATAAATTGCGAGTAACCTAAAAATGTGGAGGAGGCTATATCACGTTTTGTCATTGGAGCTATTCAAAAATCTATTGGTTGAAGGTTAGTGTCTTAGTGAGATCATAATTTATACACTTTGTTTATTAGATTTGCATATTTACCTACTATTATTGAGTCTACTTGTGGTTACTTAATATAGAAAACTTTTTTTTTTCTCTAGTATGTTAAAATGAAAGTACTAAATAAGAGATGCAAAGTATTAAAAATTCTGCCATTGTTTGATATGCATTAATCACCTTTACACGAATGAACGATTTTCACTTGGATTCTGCATCTTGTCTTGAAAGGTTTGATGTTAGCAAGATTGGTGATATAAGATTTCATCCATTGTTAGAATTGAGAAACGAAGTAGCAATATTGAAGTAGCAAGATTGGTCTTTTGCAATCATTTTTAAAAAAGAAGTAGCAAAAGGTTAGGGGTCGTTTGAAAGCTTAATGAGTATGTAAAATGGTATTAGACATTCTATATTTATAGGGAAAGGAGGTCGGCTAGGGTTAAACCTATTAGATCAAAAGAATATATTTGCAAATCCATTTTTTAAATAAAGTTTTAAGGTATATACTTGATTTGAGAGGTATAGAATATATAGTTATTGTTATATTTGGAAAAATATATTAACTGAATTCGAATAAGATTGAAAACAACCTTCAAATTTGGATATTTTTGAAACGAATTATTGTTACCATTACTATCTATCCTTATTTCGTATTCGAAATTAAAGGGATACGTTTGTTTTGGTAATATCTTTAAATTCGTAAATGTCATTTTTGGTTTCCAATTAATTTTGTTCAGATTGCCAAAATCTCAACCGACCGGATCAAGCAAAGGATCGAGCCCATGATCCGCGTGTCGACCCGCCAAAGAACCCCATGATCCGCGTGTTTATTCGGTTCAGTAGCCCAAGATCCGTGGGTTACTTCCTTTCAAATTATTGTTTTACCCTTTTATGTGTTTTTTTTTTACTCTTAGAATGCAAAATTCTTAATGGTATTCTTTGTAATTTTTTACCCTTTATAAGGTTATTTATTATCTAATGCTTCCCAATTAATAGTATAGATTGAAAATATCTCCTTATGATGCCATAATATGTTCTTTTTTTTTTTGTTAGATTCGGTGTATGTGTGTAATTAATCCCATCCTTCCGACTGTGTTTTTCAAGTCTTTCTTATTTCGACTAAGTCTCGTGGTTTATTTTACGGATTTGTGCATTGGAAAATATTTACTGATAAATTCCAACTTTCGAGTACGTATTTGTATACATATTGCATGCAATTTTTTTCGGATCTCAAGTGATAACTAAAAATCAAGAATATTCAAGAAATCATGAAATTTAAAAGTACTTATGGTAATTTCTGAAGAAACTGAGGAAATTATGGAATAAAAAGAAAAAAAACAAAACAAAACTATATATATGGACATTTTCAAAATTACTCAAATTAGTTTGTTTCATACCTGATTTGTACTTGTATATGTTGGAATATTTCTACTTTGTATTTATGGATAGGGGCCATCGCAGTTGGCCCTATAGTTAAGCAGCCTCTAGAGGGACCAAAATAATTAACACATGCTAATTACGTGCCTTGGCTTCCAACCAAACGTTGTTGATAGGGATGCGGATTTCTCACGTATCTCTGGCAGAGGGCTTCGTCCAGAGCTAGAGCTACCGATTTATGCCGAATTGGGGGCTGTTGTATCCCTGCAAGTCACTTTGTTCCCGAAACAAGGCTTCTGCATTGGAACCACAATCCACCATGTCGTCGTGGACGGCAAAACTGCTGAAAAATTTAACAAAGCATGGGCTCATGCTTGTAAACATGGGACCGTACCGAAAATTTTACCAACGGTTTTAGATCGTTCTGTCGTCAATGTTCCAGCCGGACTTGAACAAAAGATGCTCGGACTTCTGCCGTATCTCACGGAGGACAAAGAGAACGCAAGAACCCTAAAGCTACCTCCAGTAAAAGAGATTTTCGCTGAAGACAACGTCCTCCGAACCACCATCGAGATGACTCCTGAAAACATTGAGAAACTCAAGGAGCGAGCCAAGAAAGAGTCAACACGCACTGAGCTTCACTTGTCAACGTTCGTAGTCTCGTTCGCCCATGTGTGGACATGCATGGTGAAGGCCCGTAGAGGCGACCCGGAGCGACCGGTTCGTTTCATGTATGCTGCTGATTTTAGAGACCGGTTAGACCCACCAGTCCCTGTGACATACTTCGGGACGTGTGTCTTAGCCATTGATTTCTATAAATACAAAGCTAAGACGTTTTTGGGAGAAGATGGATTTGTCAACACCGTCGAAATTCTCAGTGATTCGGTCAAACGTTTGTCTTCACAAGGGGTAGAGTCAACTTGGAAGGTGTATGAGGGAAGGAACAAAGACGATGAAATGGGGTACACAGTTGTTGGTCGTAAACGGGTCCAACCAGATAGGGATGTACGAAACGGATTTCGGGTGGGGAAGACCCGTTCACACTGAGACATTGTCTATCTACAAGAACGATGAGTTCTCTATGTCCAAGAGGAGAGATGGGATCGGTGGCGTCGAGATTGGCGTCTCTTTGAAGAAACTTGAGATGGATGTTTTCTTGTCTTTATTTTACAAATGGATTGGAAACTGAAAATTAAACGGTCTTAATCGATTCCAGCTTTCGATTATTTGTATTTTTATGTTTTCATTTCTAGTTTCAATAATTGCCCTATACGACGCAGATTTGTATTGATTATGGCTTTTGTATTGTTTTTGAATAATTTGTACTGGGTTACCATACGTGCGTAATTATTGCGTACAATGGTATGCAGTCAATTTTGTTATTCTTTGGACGTAATGCGATATTTATGTAAGTAGAATAATGAAAAGTGTATATAGATAAATAATAAATGTTAAATTTAAGATTTAAGGAAATACTCTAAAATACTACTAAAATTTAAAACTTTTATTCTTTTCAAATTCATAAAAATGGATACAACCGAAAAGATAAAAAAAAATATATATATAATTGTAGGTAAACGATATATTTCTCCTTCAGAAATTTCACATAGCACCAAATCACACATATTTATAGTTTCGTTCCATTTCTATACAGATATAAAGTTCCGAATCTATTTCTCTCTAATTTGAAAAATCGAAATTTCTTTCGACATAAAATTTCCGTCACATGATGAACATGGTGATATTTCAGTCAATCAGAAAATTAAAGCTGTGATACGTCTCAATAGGTGATGAACATGGACCCCAATATTTTGTCACATGCTTAGTGGCAAATTTATTTATTTATAGAATTATTGAAGAATATTACTACTAAATATTTATTTTATAATATAATGTTTATAAAATTTTATGTAAAATGATATTTTTCAAAAAAAACAAATTTTTATTTTCTCGGTAACGTGGGACCACAATATTTTAAAGGGTTTTTAGCTGAGCGATAAAGAATTAAAGATGGTAAAGATAACGGGCCGAATATATGTCATAGGCCCATAGCCTAAAACAATAAGGGTAGTCATGTAAAATCCCCTCACACACACCCCTCAAAAACCCTAATTTCGTTTTAACATAATTCCTCTCAATCCCCGTCTCCAAGTATCGCCGACGCCGCAGCACCAAAGGAGGAGAAGAAGGATCAAAGGCGCGACACAACAATGGCGACTGGTAAAACAGTGAAGGATGTCTCTCCACACGAGTTCGTCAAGGCTTACGCTGCCCATCTCAAGCGCTCCGGCAAGGTAACGAATCGTGATTCTTAACATCGTTTGCCCATAATCTAGTCTTTTTGATTGATGTTTGGGATTACGATTAGCTCATGAGAGTGAAATGATCGCAGCTTGATTTGAAACTTGAGTTGGCCTTAAAAGTCTAGAGCATTTGAATCGTAACTACAAATATCAATAGGGTCTGAATTTTTGGTTAGTGTCATTTCAGTGAAAACCCTAGATAGGTATTGGATGCTTGGCTTGGTTTTTGGCACTATATGTTTCTGCTTTTGGTTTCAGTGTTGTTCTTTTCATGTAGATTGAGCTGCCTCTGTGGACAGACATCGTCAAGACTGGTAAACTTAAGGAGCTTGCTCCATATGACCCTGACTGGTACTACATCAGAGCCGGTATGTATAACAACATCCGGTCAAGTCTTCTACCTATTGGATTTAGGCATTGCCTTTTAATGTTTGTATCTGATTTTCTGAGACAACCTTTTCTACTCTTAAGCTTCCATGGCTAGGAAAGTTTACCTGAGGGGTGGTCTTGGAGTTGGTGCCTTCCGTAGGATCTATGGAGGAAGCAAGAGGAACGGAAGCCGTCCTCCTCATTTCTGCAAGAGCAGCGGTGGTGTTGCTCGTCACATTCTTCAGCAACTCCAGACCATGAACATTGTCGACCTCGACACCAAGGGGTAAGTTTATTGTCTCTGGTATAGATTTCTCCGTGGACACTTGGATTCGATATCTTAAATAAGATCTAAGATTGTATTCACTAAATGAATTGTATTTATGGTTTTATGAATGTGCTACTACTTAATCTATTAATACACATATTTCTGCAATCGGTTATGTCCTTGCTAGCTAACGATTACATATTCTGATCCTTCCAGGGGAAGGAAGATCACATCAAGTGGTCAGAGAGATCTTGACCAAGTTGCTGGAAGGATCGCAGCTGCCGTCTAAATCAAATCATAACGTCAGATGGTCAAGTCTAAGTTTCCGGTTTATGTTGGAGATTTAGTTATGGAATGTTTTGCATTTGAAAACCAATAGTAGAATTCCCTCTCATTTTTTGTTTTCATGAATTCCCTCTTTTTTGCCTATCTTTGACCCGTTTCCTACTCATTTCATGAAATTAGTTCTAAAATATATAATTATGGCTTCTTTTTTATTTGTATTCAATATTTGCAAAATGGTTTTGTTTGCTTTAATCGGTAGAGTAAGAATACATGCAATTTGGAGTTGAAAGCAATGACTTAGACCTCAGGCTTGTAAGTTGTAACTCTATGCAATGACATAGAGTTAAAGCTAAGACATTTCGGAAACGTGAAAGAATCAGAGATTACCAACAAGTAATTGTGTGCGTTTGAAACTTTAAAAAAGTTTTGTAAACGGAGGTGAGCATTAAAAATACGAATTACATTTACTCTTTATTAGTATTTTGTAATAACAAAAACAAAATTTTGAGAATCCATACAGTTACTAATCTATACTAGTATTTTTGCAACACTTTGGTGACGGGTGGGTAAAAATGCTTTTGGGTATATCGGATATCCGACCCGTTTTTAAAATTCCTTCACAAAAAATTTGTTGGGTCGGGTTATATTTAACCCAATTCATACACCGGATATTCCATATTTAATAATTCAGATATTTAGAAGATTTGATTAAGATTTATAATTATGATACTCCTATCATCTTTGTTTGATTTGTTTTTAACTGTTTTGAATCATCATATAATACATAAAGTAAAAAAAAAAATCAATTTTTTTTTCTGCATATACTGTGATTCGAAATTTTAAAAACGGACATATATTATCCAATAGACGAAAATGTGTGTTCAACGTTCTACATCGATTAAAATATTTAGACAATGATTCAGAATCATATCATAAATAAGAACATTAATAAAATAAATGAGTTTTTTGGCCGGACGGGTTTGGCGGGACGGGTTTTTGAATCAACAATAATAAAAAGATTAAAATATCATTAATCCGCCGCTTCAATACGGATTTAATCTTTATTTTTTTAATATCACAAATATTAGACATATAAATCAGTCTTATTTAGAAAAGATTGTATAAAACCAAAAATTATCCCGTAGTATAATGTTACTTAATAACAATATTTATAAAATTTTAAAATATCATTAACATGCCACTTTAATACATATTAAATCTTTAGTTTATTAAAATATAAATGTCTTAGAGAATGAGATGATTTGTAAACTTTTATATATAATAAATAATCATTAAATTTTAAAATAAAAACAAATCACAAGACGGGTTAAGAAATTACGGAACGGGTTATATTTCTGAAATGATTTATATGGCGGACGAATTTGAATCAATATTTATATACCGCTTTAATACGGGTTAAATCCTCAGTTTATTAATAATTATCTTGTGGATTCGTGGTATACCGTTACTTAATAACAATTGTAAACTATAATATAAATAAATATGTTATAAGGAGATACAATTTACAAAATATTTGTATACTAACTTTAAAATTAAATTATCTCGCGGTGTACCGCGGGTTAAAATTTAGTGTATCTTACAATTTGAGGGACATTTCAAATTCAAGAAAGCATATACTCCACTAATTTAGGGTGTCTCCCGTTAGTTTCTAAAACTCGTTGCCTCTTTTGCTTCCAGTTCAAAAGCTCACACAATCCCTAACTCTAACCTATTATTTAAAATTTCTTTGCCAGCTTCACATTTAGGATTTTACTTGCAGCTGACGAACGCTTGATTTCTTTTTAGAATGGCGGCCACAGCAACTGCTAAATCATTGGCGTTGCTGGATACAGAGAACCGCGAGGTTCTCAAAAGTTGGGATGCCATCTTTACTCATGGCAACACTGATCCAGTCGCTCCTCTTGAGCCACTGGCCTTCAACGGCTTTGGACTGTCACGTCTCGGCCAAAGACCACCATCAACCAAAAACAGAAGAAGACGAATCAGCAAAGGGGGATTTCGCTGGTGCAAAAACGTCTGTTTGGTGGGACATTGAGAACTGCGAGGTTCCAAAGGGTTGTGACCCCCATGGTGTTGTTCAGAGCATTAGATCGGTGCTGTTGAAAAGGAACTACTGTGGTCCGCTCACTATTTATGCCTATGGTGACACAACTCTCTCTTCCACCGGCGTATCTCTCAATCACGTCCCTGCCGGTTAATCTCTTTGATTCTTTCTTTGATTAGCGGTTTAAGTATATGAACAATTTGGATTGTTTTCTTTGTTAAAAAAAAACAAACTTTTGGATTGTTTAGTTACGGATTATATAATGGTTAGGGACTTAAATTTATATGGTAATCTTGGCGTTAATGAGATCAGTCTTTATTGTGTGGTCTCTAATGGCTCATTCTCTATGTTCTTGATAAATGATGATGGTGAGAATTTAACAGGAGTAAAAGACGGGAGTGACAAGAAGCTCCTTGTAGACATCGTGTTGTGGGCAATGGAAAACCAAGCTCCTGCTAAATCTCTGGTGATAAAGACTTCTCTTATCTTCTTCACAAACTAGGTATGAAGAGGTATAACATTCATCGCTTCTGCAAAAACCGTATGGTTATGGACAAGCATTGTTAATGGGGATCGTCCTAATAGATTCTGGCTCTGAGGTTTTAAGACATTTGGGTCCTAAACAAGCTCAAGGGACCAAGAGGTGCCGGAGTTTCTGTGAATTATGCAATGTTTTTTGCTCAAACCATGATTTAACCGCTCACCTCTCTGGTAAAAGGCACAGAACTAACGTAAGCTATACCTTTTATTTTTTAATGTATGCTTTTTGTCCTCTCCTTGAGCCTAATCTTGATTCTTGAGTTCACTTCTACCGAGATTAGATGTGAGGCACATGTGCTTTATGTTGAGAATAGTTTTGACAATTGTTGTTGTACATTTTCTCAACTTGTGTAGGTTATGCTAGCAGCCCGTGGACGCCCTCTTGTCAGTAATTCAATCGAACAAAAGTTTGCATGGTGCCGAGATTGCCGTATCAGTTTCCGCAGGTATGAAACGGACATCTTAGAGAAAAGCCACCAAGAAAAACTTGAAGATCAAAACGAGCATTCCAAAAAGCGCATCTGCAGGAGTACTACCCCCTAAACGTCTCCTATAAGTTTTAGAGGGAAGATAATGCGATTAGAGTTTGTTAATTGCCAAACTTGTCCTTTGAGTCTCATCTTAGTTACCTTGTTGGTTGAAATAACTTTTGTTTTTTTTGGGAAGGTTCTATAATTTATTTTGCGAGAAATTATGATATAACTATTGGTTCTAAGTCTCATCTTTGTTTTTGGATAAAAGCTGAAACATGAGCCAAGTAGATAATCTTGGTTTTTTTTTTTTCACTTGTTGAAAAGTTTTAGAGTTGCTGTTCTTGAGTTTTCAGAATCTGATGTGTAAAATCGACCTAATTTCGATTGACATCAGACAGTATATACTATATATAAACCTTGTTTTTGTAGAGGTAACAATTATACATTCTGGAATTGATTCAACAATTTCTTTGACCAAAATATGATTATTTTTTAAAATTGTATATAAGGCCTTTTAGCTTCTTCTTCATTTTTTTTCCCGAAAAACTTTATCATTAAGGCATGCGTGTATCTAGCTAGCTATTTATAGGGTAATTATCAATTTTACTTTGCTAATTACCGATGGAGATACAAACTCAAAAACGGCTATTATATCTAAACTAAATCTCCCCTTCTTCTTTTCCTAGAATACATAAAAGTTACGACTATTTTTATGTTTTTATCTAATTTCCTGCAAAACAAGAAATGAAATTAAGGTTGATATTAGCTTCACTTCCACGAGCATTTTCAAGGGCTAAAACGCAGAGGGACATGAACGGCGTCGCATACAATAATTCCGTTCAACAGACACTGTCTTTCAACGGCTTTGGGCTCAAGTATCTAACTACGACAGCTACAACCGAGGCGGAATTCGCAACGGCTAAAACGTCAGTGTGGTGGGACTTTGACAACTGCAATGTACCTAAAGGTTGTGACGGCCATGCAATTGCTCAGAACATTAAATCGGCTTTGTTGAAAAGGAACTACTGTGGTCCCCTCACTATTTATGCTTATGGTGACACCAATCAGATCCCTTCCTCTGTACAACAGGCTCTCTCCCCCACCGCCTTATCGCTCATTCACGTCCCTCCTGGTCAAAACCCCTAATCTCTCTCTTTATACTGCAATCGTCTGATTTTGATTGTTTGGTCTATAACCTAGAGTCTCTAAATGGATTTTTTGTGGTGTTAAGGCATAGTGTGGTTTAGGATAAATTTTTAGTTTTTAATCTTTAAAAATGGTAGTTAGGTTGTCTCATGTTGTGATTTAACAGGAGTTAAAGACGGTAGCGACAAAAAGATCCTTGTAGACATGTTATTGTGGGCAATGGAAAACCAAGCTCCAGCTAATATAATGCTCATATCCGGTGATAGAGACTTTGCTTATGTTCTTCACCAACTAGGGATGAAGAAGTACAACATTCTTTTGGCACAACCTGAGAACGCATCTCCCATTTTAATTGCGGCTGCAAAGACAGTATGGTTATGGACAAACATAGTTGCCTCTAAGGTTCCAAATGAACAAGCTCAGCCCAGCGAAAAGAACCAAAGATACTGCGAGAAATGCAATGTTACTTGCACAAGCATGATTGATTTTAACTCTCACCTCTCTAGTAAAAAGCACAAGAAAAAGGTAAAACTATATCCGCTCTCTTGTCGTTTGGTGTGTGCTTGTTTGTTCTCTCTTTTTGAGCGTGCACAATCTAGAGTTCAGTTTAGGAGATCATTTTCACTCGTAAGTAGCTCATGATGTGAAGATGAACGTGATTATATATATGTTGCAATTTGCAGATAATGTTTTACTTGAATGTTGATAATAGCTAGTTTTGATAGTCGGTGCATGTGCTCTTTAGCTGAAACCTTGATTTCTGTTGACAGTGCGCTAATGTCATAATTGGTGTAACCAAACCCAAAGCGAAACCAAAAGCATTGTGCTGTAAGCTTTGCCAGGTCCATTGCCCGAACGAAGCAATGTATGCAAGTCATATCTCAGGGCGGAAACACAAAAACAAACTAAAAAGTCAAGCTGCGGAATCCCGCTAATCTGTTTCTTTAATTAGATTTAGAGTAATAGAGATATTATGGCTTGTAAATTTTTTCCAAATTGAGTTTTGATAAGGAAGAATTTGAGCCAAATTTGATTTATATTGATTTTGGCAGAAGTTATATTTCGTTATTTTTTTTTAAAGTGTAGTTTCTGGAATTGAAATTCTAAACACTACGTATATAAACTATTCTTTTTTTTTTTTGTTTTTTCTGAGAAAACACTTGATCATTTTACTTATTAAGAGCATAAAAACGGCTTATGCGTGCATCCAATTCTTTTCTTTAGCTTGCATAATGCATCCAATTATTTGGACTTTCTTATTTTAAAAAGAGCCTTACTTAGTAATTATGACTGTTATTTTCGCTAATTACCGATGAATGAGATACAGCCTCCAAAGTTACAACGGCTATTAAAGCATTAACTTATTATTATTATCTCAATGTCTGATTGGCGCCTTTCGAAATGGCTGACGTGGCTTAAATAATAAATATCCAAAAAGTAGAATACTTGTATTTAACTTGATCGTACTACAGAAACAAAAAAAAACAAAATAAAAAAAGCAGACTTTGCGAAAAGCGAAAGGTTTCTTCGTCAACATGGAAAGAACTTAGTGGAAACTTCTTACTAACTCAGATTGTGAGGAGATTAGCTTTACTTACCTTAGCAAGCTCTGATCTTCCACGACGGTAGAGAAAGAGAGACAAAAAGAGTGAGTTTTGGTTCACTTTTGCTTCAGAATCAAGTGTGTTTTCTTCTCTCTAGAATCTCCGGCGATGTCTACGGCGGAGGCGGATTACGTGAAGGCCAAAACATCGGTTTGGTGGGATATAGAGAATTGCGAGGTACCCAGAGGTTGGGATGCGCACGTGATTGCCCAGAATGTGAGTTCGGCTTTGTTGAAGATGAATTATTGTGGACCTGTCTCAATTTCGGCTTATGGCGATACCAATCTCATCCCTCTCCATCATCAACAAGCGCTTTCTTCTACTGGTGTTGCGCTTAATCACATTCCTGCAGGTTTCTTTCTCACAATTTTGATTCACCCATGCTTAGACGCTTTTGTGTTTTTTTTTTCTTTCTGGAATTGGGATTGATTTTGTGTTATTAGCTATAATTTGATCCTGGATCTGTAATTTTAGGGTTTTTCTTTCTGCATGTTGAATTTGGTTACTCCAATTTGATTTTGGAGTCTGATCAAATCTCAGTCCTTTAAGTAGTTTTGTTATAGTGGAATATATGATTGAGTTTGTGCTGTTTTGGTGGTTGGAACAGGAGTGAAAGATGCGAGCGATAAGAAGATTTTGGTGGATATGTTATTGTGGGCGATAGACAACCCTGCCCCAGCGAATTTCTTGCTTATCTCTGGTGACAGAGACTTTTCTAACGCTCTCCACCAGCTTCGAATGAGGAGGTATAACATTCTTTTGGCTCAACCTCCACGGGCCTCTGTGCCGCTTGTTGCTGCTGCTAAAGATGTATGGCTCTGGACAACCCTAGCCTCCGGAGGTCCTCCTCTTACAAGTTCTGAATCCTCTCTACTCTTTTGCAATGGGCGTATTCATGTCTCTAATAAAGAAGTGCTGAAACATCCGGTTTCTGAACAAGCTCAGCCCAGCCAACCACCTGGTTCTACTTCTAAAGCTGGTGATACTATGGATCACAAAACCAGAGGATTGCCTCAGGAGACGATCAAAAATATGCCTCAGAATGGCAGAGGAGCCACCGGTGAATCCTCTCTACTCGTCAACAATGGACATGGTCATGTCCCTAATTATGAAGTGTCGAAGTATCCAGTTTCTGAACCAGCTAAGTCCAGCAAACCAACTGATTCAACTTCCGACTCTGGAGATACTAAGGATCACAAAACCAGAGAAAACCACTTTCCAAGAGGATCACCTCAAGAGACGAGAAAAAATATGTTTCAGAATGGCAGAGGAGCCACTGGTGAACCTAATACTACTTGCAGAATATGCAATGTTGTATGTGATAGCTTTGAAAAATTCACCGCTCACCTCTCAGATATAAGGCATATATCTCAGGTAAACTAAAGGTTTATCTAGTATTCTCTGATGGGTTAATATCTTACCTGTTGGTGTATCTTTACTTGAAGATGAGTTTGTCTTGAAGCTAGAAGGAAACGAAAAATAATTGTTTTGACTTATTTGTGCAGGCTGCCTTTGTAGGAAGTCGCAGAGTTCCGGCCAGCGTTTCAGCCAAACCCATACAGGAAGCAGTTCTTGTCGAACCTTTGTTGTGCAAAGTTTGCCAGATAAGCTTTACCAACAAAGATGCATATAAAAGTCACACCTATGGAAAAAGACACCGAAAGAACTTGGAACTGCAATCAGGTAAGTCCAAAAACATTTTGGTGGGACCAGCTGAGCCGTCCAAGGAGGTTCTAGAGAAACATAAGAAGAATAAGAAGGTGTTGATTGAAGGTAGAGCTAAGACAAACGCTGATTTCGCTTGTCGTTTGTGCAATGTGGTGTGCCAGAGTCAGATTGTCTTTGATTCTCATCTGCGGGGTCAGAAGCATGCTAACATGCTGAGTCAATCAGAGGCAAGTTTCTAACTCTTGGCTATTCGAGAACTTGTGAATTTATAGGCATAGAAAATTTTACAGCATGGTAACACATAAGCCTGATATGAAAGTGTTGGATCAGGCACCCTTTGATTCTAATAAGCTTCAAGAGAAATGTGTCGGAGAAAAGGATCAACCAGGAGAAACATTTGCAGAGCCTCAGTTGCAGTCTCAAAAGGCTCACGAGAATACCAAGTGCTTTGAGAAGCATGTTTCCATGGCGAATGAATCAGAGGCAAGTTTTTAACTTTTGCTTTTTCGAGAATATGGGATTTTTATTAACATTGATATGCTGGCTGTTTGGTAAAACAAATGCCTGATATAATAGCTTTGGATCAGGTACTAGTTGATTCTAAAAAGCTTCAAGAGCAAGCTGTTGAAGAAAAGGATCAACCAAGTGAAATATCTGCACAGCCTAAAGTAATCGCTAAACATGTATGTCGTTTGTGCAATGTGGTGTGCCATAGTCCAATTGTCTTTGATTCTCATTTAAGGGGTCAGAAGCACGCTGCCAAGCTGAATGAATCAAAGGCAAGTCTCTTGCTTTTGGGTACTCGAGAACTTAGTATTTTACTAACATAGAAAAAATTACAGCTTGGTTAAACATCTACTTTATAATACTGTTTGGATCAGGCACTTATTGATTCTAAGAAGCTTCAAGAGAAAGGTGTCGGAGAAAAGGATCAACCAAGAGAAACAGTTGTAGAGCCTCAGTTCCAGCCTCAAAACGCTCAAGAGAATAACATTTGTTATGGAAAGCATGTTGTCATGGTGAATCAATCAGAGGTAATTTGTGATTTAATTAACAGTTTTCAGTTCAGTATATGAGGCTTAACTGTGATAAAATATAGAAATACTGAAATAGTGAAGGTTATATAGTTGGATCAGGAACTCATTTATGCTAGGGAGCTTGAAGAGAAAGATGTCCGAGAAGCTCAACCAAAAGAAACAATTGCAGAACCTCAGTCGCAGTCTCAAAACACTCAAGAGCATACCAAATTCTTTGAGAAGCAAAACGAAGAGTTGAGAAAGATTTGTGGCACATCAGAAAGCAGTGTAAAAGAACTTTTTCCAAGTACCAAACACCGTGTCGAGACTGTTAACAAACAGATTCCAAATGGAGAATTTTTGTTTGGTGACATAATTTCTGATTTTGAAGTAGACAGAGGAGCAAGGTAAAATTTTCCCAACTTGTATTTGTCTGCTTAGTATGTCACAAATCAGCAATCCTTATTTAAAAATATTCTCCAACTTTTGACACAGAGAATTTTCTGGTGCCATTGTCAAGCCTGTGAAACTCTCCAAAGGAGCAACTGTGCATTCAATGGAGGTGAAAAATAAGAAAAAGGAGGTGACGGTACGCCAAGCAATACCAGCTGCATCTAAACTTTGTCATCTTTGCGTAGTGATTTGTGATAGCCGGGGTTTGTCAACAGTTGTTTGTGATAGCAAAGCTCATTGGCCGAATCAAAAGCATACTACCGTAGTGACAGCTTACTTCATGTTCTACCTCTTTATTCTTGATCAATATCAAACCCTTCTGACTTCTTATTTTTAATGTAGGCCGCCTTTGGAGCCGGCGATGTTGCTCAGTCCAGTGTTTCAACCAAACCTATGAAGGAACCAGAGGGTTTGCAGCCTGTGTGGTGCCAAATCTGCCAGATCAGCTGCAACAGCAAGGTTGTATATGCAAGTCACACCTATGGGAAAAAACATCGACAGAACATGGAATTACAATCAGCGAAAAACGAAAATATGGCTAAGGGACCTGCCAAGCTTTCTAAAGATTATGGAGAGAAAACGAAGAAAGTACCATGCAAAAACGAAACAACCTTTGATTCTCAACTGAAGAGTCAGAACCATTCGGCCATGATCAAGGAGCCTGCAGAGGTAAATTTTACTATTTTGGTTTTCTTTCATGAACTTGGGAATCTACTTTTATTTATTAATATTACAAATCTTATTAAAAATATACCCACGTTTCCTTAGGTTTGATTCCTATGGAAAGTGATGGAGTATATATTATTACCTTAACTAAAATATCGATGTAGGAGGCATTTGTTAATTCAAGGAGAACTCCACAAGAATTCAACCAAGAAAAACCGAGAGAAGCATTGGAGCAGTTCATTGTTGACTCGAGGACAACCCGAGAAGAAACCGACCAAGAAAAAGAAATAACAGAGGAGCACACACTTGTAAAGATGGATGATGTTGGGTTTCGAGGGGCACTAGAAGATAAAGTGGAATTGAAGGAGAGACAAGCCGTATCTGAGAATTTGGTGCACCGTGTCTTCACTGAACAGAATCGAGAGTCTAGAATCCCCAATGAACCAAGGTAAGAGCAAACATTCATGGGAGTGTATAATATGGTCTCTCTCTCTCTCTTGAATCTTGATCAGTATCTGTATCTAACTGTTTACTTGGGTTACAGAGGATATTTGGATGTGATTCCTGAGAGAGTAGAACTGCCACCAAATGTGAATGTGGCCAAGAATTTGGAAGATGAGCCGGAGCATAAACCCGAACCAAAAGCACAGGAACCCAAAAACAAGTCTGCAGGACGCAAGGATCATCCTGGAGAGGCTGCCAAAAGGGAAGAGAACAAGGGACAAGCTGATAACTTTTGGACTCGCCTTTGGGGGAAAAAGGTTTAAAATATTGTTAATTCTGAGGCTGGAATATGATATATTGATATGTTGGAAACTATAACAACTTGGTAAGTGAACTTTAGCATGTTAATTCATGTTTATGTTGTCAACAATGGATGTTCTTTTAAATAGCAGACATATGTTTTATTTTGGATTGGCTATTACTTATATCTGACTGATGTTTCTTAATTATATAAACTTACCTCTTAAAAATGATTGAAGAACAATCAAATGTAGGCATTGTATAGTTTCTCTCAATAAATTGGGAAATAACGACAGGTTTTTCCAACAGAGTTTTCGGCTTAGTCTTGTAATGTATCATCAAAAATTGCATTATTTGCTTTAAGAAAACAGCTCACCTGGGCCACCCTAATTTCTTATCCGACCCGACCCATCCGGATCTTCTCTTGTTTAAATTAAAGCAGTAGAAAAAGGAAAATTTGGAAATGCTTTTGTTCAAGTTTTGTCGTCGGAATATTACTCTTCACGGCGAACAAGGTAAAGCTTTCCTTATTAGATTTGAGAAAGGACAGAATTTTTTTGTGTCTTTATCAGTTACTCGTAAAGGGACAATTTTTTTTTTTTATAGTCTGTGGTCGCTTATGGCTCGTAATCTTGGTCCATTGTCAGCTCTTCTGTGTAAACTATAGGTATAATGTCGAGCAACTGGGGAAGTAACTCGAGGAGTAACAGCTCAGGAAGTAGTTCTAGAAGCGATGTTGAGAACTCGTTTGATGATGATGAGGAGCTTTTGCAGATTGGGACAAGATGTATGGAGGTGAATCTTTTTTTTTTTTTTTTAATCATGTCTCAGAGATTGATAAAGTTCATATATTTTTTGGCTTTGTGATCTCATGTTTTCATTGTAATTGCAGCTACGGAGAGAAAAGGAGATGCTGAGAGAATCTCAGTCACAGAGTGTTGAACTCGTCAGAGTATTGTTCTTCTTGTGTGTTTTAGACTAGTATATATAGTGTGAATTCATTGTTCTGAATTTGTTGTCATTTTTCTTTTACAATAGAGGTTGGAACTGAATGCGAATTCGTTGTCAGAGTCTCGTTTAGAAGATAAGAGAAGAATTCAGTTGTTGGAGAAGGAATTGTTGAATTGCTACCAAGAGATTGGTAATGGAGATTTCTGATGAAACTCAAGTCTTGGCCTGTGTTTATATATGAGCTAAAAAAACACTTTCTTTGTCTTTCAGATTATTTGCGGGATCAAGTAAATTTCAGAGGCCAAGAAATGAACGACCTGAGTGAACATGTGCTTGATCTTGAAGTCAAAGTAAATGAATCAGGGAGATTGGAAGAAGAAGTTAACTATTTGAGGGAGGAGTTGTGTACGTCGAAATCTGAGCAGCTATTGTTGTTGCAAGAACTGGAGAGCGCCGAAACTGAGCTGCAGTTGTCTTTGTTTTCTGTTGAGAAGCTGGAGGAGTCTATCTCATCCTTAACATTGGAGTCTCAGTGCGAGATAGAAAGCATGAAACTCGATATAGCAGCGTTGGAGCAGGCGCTCTTTGATGCGCACAAGTTTCAAGGAGAAAGCATCCAAGAAAACGATAAGTTAAGAGAAGTAGTCAAGGAGCTACAGTTGAAGTCTCAAGAGGCAGAAGAGAATGCTGAGTGCTTAGAGAAGCAAAACAAAAAGCTGATGGAGAGATGTGTAGCCTCTGAAAGGAATATCAAAGAATTATGTCAAAGCTTTAAAGAACGGTTGGAAAGTGAAGGTGAAGCAGCTGTAAATGCAGAGTGTTTCTACACTGAATTAAACCATATGCTTCCTTTACCTGACGAAACCCGGTAGGTTCCAGCTTCACACCTATATAAATACATTCAATGAAGCTATTCTCATTGTTTTTACTTCTGCTGATTTCTTGTCTCACAGGGAATGTTTCCATGAGATCATCAAGAAATTAGAGGTTTCACGAGATGTGAAACTGAGAGACAAAATGGAAGATATGGCAAGACAGATACTTCAATACAAAGATCTTGTAAAGCAGCTCAAGGTATTATTTACCAAACAAAACTGTCGAATCAAATATTTGGTACCTTTCCGCAGCATCACACATGTTCTAACTAGTTTAACCATTATTTTGTTATGCTTAAGGATGAGTTGAAAGAAGAGAAACTAAAGGCCAAAGAAGAAGCAGAGGACTTAACACAAGAGATGGCTGAATTAAGATATAAAATGACATGTTTATTGGAGGAAGAATGCAAGCGGCGTGCATGCATCGAACAAGCATCATTACAGAGAATAGCCAATCTAGAGGCACAGGTACTTACTTACTTACTTGTTTCTATATTCCAGTTTTTTCGTTTGAGCCATCAGAGAACCTAACAAATATCCATTTTCTTATCAAGATCAAGAGAGAGAAGAACAAGAAGTCCTCAACTTGCTTAGTTCCTCTTTCTGCCGTGTAAAACAACTAAGGTTCAAGTTAAACTTGGAATCACAGTTAATGCCTCAGAGAAGCCTTAAGCTATATAAGGTTTGAATATTTATACATTTAAAGTGTACATAATAATCCAATTTGATTGTAAACTGGAATATGGATTTCATCTCCGTGATTATGTTTATATATAGAAATTGAGTTTTTCAAGAGTGAAACTGCTTCTTCATGTGACTTCTATGTGTTATTCAGAGATCTGGAGAAATTGAGATGAATCCTACTCTAGATAAATGTTGAAAGCTGTGGAACTGAAAGCCAATAAAAAAGCTTCTTACTGTTTGACTCTATTTGATGGGCCTGTGATGAGCCGAGTTTATTTGATGGCCCATTTTCTCTCTTTTTAATTTCTTGTAAAAATAAAAATATCTTGAAGAGTTTTTGTATCATCAAGTATGTGCAACGTCTTGTAATATTGTTGATGATGCAAAGTGATGATTGAATGGGTCAATGAAAAGAACCTGTTGTCTTTATTCTTAATCAAGACACTAAGTAGATTTTTTTTTTGTCTAACCTAACCTAATCCAACTTGACTTTAAAAAAAAAAAACCTAATCCAACTTGTTCTTCACCAAAATATTGAAATGAGGAAAAATATACTTATATGCAATTTTATCTGAAATGTTGAAAGGGCATATCATATCTACTAGGACATTTTAAGATTATGTAGTCGTTATAGATTGTAACCGGTAATAAATAAAAATTAATGAGATTAATTAGGCATGATCATTTTTTTTTTTTTTTTTTTTTTTGTAAACCAAATTAGGCATGATCATATGCATACATATTGACATATTGTCAAACAATTTTCTATGTTCAAGTAGTTTTCTTTTTGGGATACAATATGTTCTCTTTGACAAATTCAACAAAGAACGTTCTTTTTGGATGACAAAGTTGACAACTTACCCACAAAACGTCGAAAAGGAAATTGGGAGTGGAATGGTTGGTTTCATGCAATTTATAAACTAAACCATCGGTACAACAAAACAGCAGAAACCGAGTAAAATAAGTTATTTCCTTCGTGTTTATTTTATGATAATATTATTAAAAAAATCTCAAATATTTGATTTTGGTTAGAAAGTTTTTTTAGTGGCAAATTAAATGTTATAATTTCCTTTTCACAATGAAGTTGCGCTAGCTAAAGAAAAAAATAGATATGACCGTTTTAGATTTGAATTAAATAATTTAGTTTATTTATTAATTGACCCCACGTTCCTTGCTACAATTTGTTTTTTGTTTTTTTTTTTATATAACCTTGATAAATCTTCGTCAACATAGACCCAAAGACTCAAATTCTTGGGTCGTTCTCGTTCCGAGTCGTCTCCGCGTTAAATCCTTGCCCTTTTTGATCCCTTCTCCTTCGCATTGATTTGTTCCTCCTTTTTTCTTACAATTCTATTCATTAAGAACCCAATCTTCTTCTTCTTCTTCTTCTTCTTCTTCTTCTTCTTCTTCTTCATCGTCTTCCCGACTCCACTTCGCGCATCCAGGTAACCACAATCTCCTCTCTATCTTTTCCTGCCAAAAATTCTCAATTTCCTTCTGGTAGATCTTGGGCTTTCGATTCCTCTTCTGCTTTCCCCAGACGGTTGTTTGTTCGCAAAGAGAATTCTCGAGCGAATTTTGTGTGGGGATCTCATAGTCTTGGCTTCTTTGATGCACTTACTTTTGTTTCTTTCTTTAATCACTTCATATGCTCAATTATGCCCAAATTAATTTCTATTTTTTGGTCTTGTTGCTTTACTCCTTTAACTATGTCTTGGATTTGATGACCTTTTCGTATCGTAACACCGTTTTAATCTTACTTTATTCTCTTAGCTTAGACGTTAGAATCAAAAGCATCAATCCTGATTACTATGTTTTGGTTTCTCCAGGAAGGTTTATTAGTTACCAATCCAAGTGTTCTCTTTGTCTGAATCAACAAGCTCTGTGATATTTTTCTGAGAGAAAATGTTTGGTTTAAGGAAATCACCGGCTAATCTTCCCAAGCATAACTCTGTCGATCTCAAGTCTTCCAAGCCAAATCCTTTCGATTCAGACGACGAATTGGACAACAAACATACCCTTAACCCCTCTAAGAGGACTACCTCTGAACCATCTTTGGCTGATATGACAAACCCTTTTCATGGTGAGAGAGTTGAGAAAGGATTTAGTAGTTCATCGAAACAGTCATTGATTTCGACCTCGAAATACCAGTACAAGAACAATTTCCGTGATTCTGGAGGTATCGAAAACCAGTCGGTTCAGGAGCTTGAAGGTTATGCTGTCTACAAGGCTGAAGAGACGACGAAATCTGTACACGGTTGTTTGAAGGTAGCAGAAGATATTAGGTCAGATGCTACCAGAACTTTGGTCATGTTACACGAGCAGGGCGAGCAAATCACAAGGACGCACCATAAAGCTGTTGAAATCGATCAGGATCTCAGTCGAGTGAGTTTTTCTTCCTTATTGTTCTTGATTTTAATGAAAACATTCAATCTTTTTCTGAGGATATTAGTTGGCTGGTTGTTGTTGTGAGATAAGAAAGCCGAGGGATGTGAGGTTTATTGATTGAGATGCTGAATTATTTGGCTTTTTTTTTTGTTTTCAGGGTGAGAAGCTTCTTGGAAGCCTTGGAGGCATGTTTTCAAAGACTTGGAAACCAAAGAAGACTCGTCCTATAAATGGCCCTGTCATAACCAGAGGTTTGTTTCTTGGTCATTGATATCTCAATTCTTCTCTCAGCTATTTTACTTTGACCTAATTGCTGATTTCCATTCTGTGTTTCGGCTTAGATCACTCACCAACGAGAAGAGTTAACCACTTAGAGAAAAGGGAAAAACTGGGACTGAACTCAGCACCCAAAGGACAATCAAGAACCCGAGAACCGCTCCCCGAATCAGCTGATGCCTATCAGAGAGTGGAGGTTAGGACTTCTCTTCCCTCCCTTCTATTTTTCCTTTCCTAGGAACATTACTCTACTCCCGTATCTGAGATGACTGATCCATGAACTCTCTCTATTTGGGGTCATGTAATGCTAATTACTTGAGACATTGATGAACATATATATCTGAGTGAAACTTGTGTTTTGGACGATCCATGAACTCTCTCTATTTGGGGTCATGTAATGCTAATTACTTGAGACATTGATGAACATATATATCTGAGTGAAACTTGTGTTTTGGACGCCACTAAACTTATACTCGTTTATTACAGATGGAAAAGGCTAAGCAAGACGACGGGCTTTCAGACTTGAGTGATATACTGGGGGAGCTAAAGAACATGGCTGTTGACATGGGAAGCGAAATCGAGAAGCAGAATAAAGGACTTGACCATCTTCATGATGATGTTGACGAACTCAACTTCAGAGTGCAACAATCAAACCAACGTGGACGCCGTTTGCTTGGAAAGTAGATGAACAGAGAGTTATATGTTCATTACACTCATTCCTCTCGTTTGATTCTCTATGAAGTTCTTCTTTAAAACTGAAAAGGTTTTAATCATGCTATATACATTTCTGTCTGTGTTTGTATTTGATCTTTTGACAAAAAACCAAAAAACTTAATTGTGCAAACAGAAGCAATTTTGCTATTGTTTTATCTTGTATCATACAGATTTCTCCAGAAATTCTGACAATAGATAAATACTGTATTTGAATCCCAGATTTATAACCTAACATAAGAATACAGAAACTCCAGACAAGTTGGAACATTTGTTATCCAACAAGTGCATAATCGTGTGAGATTATTACGAAGAAAAAAAGAAGCCATGAACTCTTCATTTCCTTTAGTCTATCTCTGCTCTAATCCAAGTAATTTCTCTCACAGTGTCCACTTCTTCACTTGATAATGTCTGAAATCATATAACACGAAGACTAGATGAGAAGTGCACAAATCAATCTTTCATTGTTGGGAAGAACTATGAATAGAAGAATCAATAATCCCATACAAACACCAGTTGTTCACCAATCATATTCTCAAGCCTAATCTCCGGCAAATCAGAACTCAAAAAACCAATCAATAGAAAGTAGTTTCAACATGACCAATAATAATAGCCAATAGCTTTGGAGGATATTGAAATGACAAACATACATCTACTGAAGCTTGACTTCCATGATGTTCTTGGTCTTGGGAGGATATGCCAAGTAGACCTTGAGCACTCTCTCAGCGACGACAAGCTGTGCTTTAGCTTCGGCATAAGCCTCATTCACCTTCGATGGGTCAGTGAGATTCTTGTTCATGCGGAAGCCATCCAAGGTCCTTCGCTTAGTGTACTCCCTAATGTTGTAATCAGGGTATTGACGTCCGGCTCGAAGCAGGGCACGACAGAGGCTGAGAACTTCACTTCTAGATACCATTGCAAAATTGGAAACTAACCCTTTATTATACAAAGCCTGCAATCAATATAAGAATACATTAACGGGAATGAAAGAAACTGATTAGCAATGCCAAAAAGGAAGAGAAGGAGTCAAGATAAGGGATAGAGATACACACTTTGATATTTAACAAGAAGATATTTATAAAGCAAAAGAACCTTCTTTTTTTTTTTTCTAAAACAGTGAGGAGATTCAGTAACAATGCCAGAAAATTCATATGCAGGGATTTGATTTGAGTAGTGTATATAAGGTATGAGAACCAGTTGCTGTAACAATTTAGAAACATAAGCTCTAGAGTTGATGAAAATCTGCAAAAGAACCAATACTAAGTAATCGCAAACGCTTTAGACAATCAAGAAGAAACTCAAAAGGCCATAAAAGCACTTAGGAATCCTAAACTTGACCTAAAATGGATGAAATTGCAGCCACAACCCAAAAGAGACTAATACAACTGAATCGCAAGAGGATCCGACCAAAATTCAACAAAATTAATACTAATAAGCATAGAATTTGACGATAACGAGCTCCAAATCCATAAACATACCGATTTGATATCGCCGGAGGGTATAAAATTAATGTCCCGAGCTCGCCGTTGAAGTTCTCCGTTGGAAGGTTTTGATAGCAAGCAGGTCGTTGGGGTATAAAATAAACTTTTAGGTTTACCCAAAAGTTAACCGGGAAAACTGATTTTAATAACCGGATCAATTTGAGGAAGAGATCCGGTTTTTAGAATGGGCTAGACACAGGCCTGTTAAATTGGGCCGATGTGTGGTAAGCCAGCCTTTTTATTTTATTAAGGGGTATGAGCTGGCAGATTCGACAAGAAATAGTAAACAAAACCGATATTTATCATTCTCTGTCACAGCCTTCTACGAAGAATTCGATTCTCTCCTATCTCGAGCGACGAAAAAAAACCCTACTGCGATATTCTCCGATCGATCTCTGGCGAGAAGAAATATCTTTATCTCTGAGCTTTCTTTCACCATTTCTCTGTCTCTATCTCTCTGGTACGAGCCTCTCAGACTTTTCGATTCCTTGTGTTCATAAGCATGTGTGAAAATCCTTGCGTGTCGAAATTGATCTGTCTCTTTGTCGTTTCGGATTCATCGTTGGATTTGTATGCTTTAGTTCGTCAACTTTTTCTGTGGTTTGTTCTGATTCATGTGTAATTTGGAGCTTGCTTGATTGGTGATCGATGATTCAAGTTTGTACTCGTTAGTTCCCTTGATTCGATTGATCTTGTCTTGTGGTGAGGGTTTTGTTTCTGATTCCATTGACTAGTTTCTTGAGTTGTCCTTACCTGGGATTTGATGGCCAATTTTACACACGAGCTGAATTGTTGTGTGAGTGATAATTGTGGTTTTGTGATTATTTATATGACAGAGAGATTTATAGCTTTCTTCTTGTTGGGGCATTTACTGTTTTTGTTGTGTGTTCATCTGTTTTTTCACTAATTTGGTTTTCTTCTTTTTTTTGGCAGATTTGGTAAAATCACACTTCTATAAGGCTGAAATTTGGGGTTTTCTCAGTCTCGATGTGGTCGTGCTCCGTTAGGATTCTTCACAATCATTAGGCTTGTATTTCTCTCAAAGTGATGCTCATTTTCTCTTCCCTGTCTATGGCTTTATCTGTGATCCTTCAAAAGCTTAGTGTCTTCGGCCCTGGTTTGAATCCTTCTTTCCCTTACTGCATCGCCAATCACTCTGTTGCCTCCCGTTAATTGAGTTGCTCTCTTTCAACTGAATTACATAAGTCTGCTTCCTTTGCTGTCTAGTCTGGATATTCTTTCAAATCCCTAACCAGAAGTAGTACCTTCTCTAGACATTCTTGGCTTGAGTTCTTGAGTAAGTCTTGTTTGATTAGTTTCTACCCGAGTCTCTTAGTCCTACACAGATCCCGATCCTACTTCGTCAAAGCTATTTCTTGTTTAGCTGAAGCTCAGACCCAGAATGCTCCAAGAACCCCCGGTTGCATTCTCGCTCCGGCGTAACTCATTTAGACGCCGATCCCCCAGATCAAATGTTGATGACAGAGGCTGGTCTCCACTCCACATCAAAGCCCGAAAAGGCGATCTGAAATCCGTTACACAGCTTCTCGACCAAGGAATGGATGTGAACGCTCTAGCATGGGGACCCAAATCAAAAGGAGTGAGTGCCCTTCACCTTGCAGCAGAGGGAGGTCACATAGAAGTCATGGATTTACTCCTCGAACGTGGGGCCAACATCGATGCCAGAACATGGGGCTCGTGCGGGTGGACCCCTCTCCACGCTGCAGCCAAAGAGCGGAAGAGAGAAGCGGTGAAATTTCTGGTGGAGAACGGTGCATTCTTGGCAGATGATATAACTGATACAAGGTTTAATCCGCCGGTGCATTACTGTCACGGACTTGAATGGGCGTACGAGGAAATGAAGAAACTTAACAGCGAGTCTTCTTCATCTGGTGGAGACACATCTTCCAGTTCTGAGAACTGAACTTCTTCTTGTTTCTCCGTGTGTTTAGTTTTTCTCAAGTTGAGACACTTATCAGAAACATTATCGTTGGTGTTTGATCTTATGGCTATGTGAAACTTTGAAACTGCGGGTTTGTCATATATTAATGTAATCTTCAGTGTGTTATTTTGCAACTCTTAGTTTTGAGAACCTATCCGACTTTGATTTTAAGGCTTTGTTTTGGTTAACCGGTTCTGGACCAACCAATTATGAGATAACCCAGTTTTGATCTCATCTGAATCACTGAGGCTAATAATTAACAGTTACCTATTCCGGTAAACCAAATGTGAAGCAATTTAAATCGAGTATTTATGTTCAAATAGTGATTAACATAATTAGCATGGATATAATATAGCAAAAATATCTAGATTGTGAGCCTAAAGCGAAGTTTTGTTCTTAATTGACAAAGCACCATATGTTTCAAATCATTGTCATTTGTGTTTTAGGACATACATGTTTAACTAACTGGGGAATGTAAACAATTTGACACAAATGGATTTGATCCACAAGAAGAAAACATCCGGGTCGTTACCAAACCCGTCGGTGAGAAGCGGGTTTGGATACACGTATTCGGTTTACGAATCTCAGGAAGCAGAGAAAATAAAAATGACTTTTTTAATTTCGCTCACCTCTTAGATCCCGTTTGTTCTCTTTCACTTTGGCTGTTCAAGCAAAAACCATGGCTTCTCGCTGTGAGCTACTTCTGATCTGCATCTTCTCTATCTTGTTTGCTTTTGCTCACTCCAAGACATTGAAGCGAGATGGTAAGTTGAAGTTCCACCATCTGGTTTTGTGTTTATGGATCGATCCTCCATTGATTGATAGCTCTTTAACAGATTTGGTCGATACCCATTATCCAGATTCGTCTTATCGCTTATCAATTTTCATGATATAGCACGCAAGTTGGAATCTTTTTGCTTTCTCTCTTTCTAATCTGAGCTGAAATTTAGAGATTATAATTATGTGTGAACAATGATTGGATCTGATACTATTTGTTATAGTCTCAATGGTTTGGTTCTATCTCTGCATCATCTACTACCGTATCTTTTGAAATCAGGTTTCCTCAAAGTTAATATGTGTTTCATCTTGTGTACAGTGAAAGCTTTGAATGAAATTAAAGCCTCTTTGGGATGGAGAGTGGTGTATTCATGGGTTGGTGACGATCCTTGTGGAGATGGAGACCTTCCACCTTGGTCTGGTGTCACCTGTTCTACACAAGGAGACTATAGAGTTGTCACTGAATTGTAAGTTGTAGTTTCTTCTGACTTCTCTTTGTTTCTTTTTCATCAACCTGATTTGCTTGACTGAACTAATTTACTTGAGCTTTTTGATTTGCAGAGAAGTTTATGCGGTTTCGATTGTTGGACCTTTCCCCATTGCAGTAACAAACCTTTTGGATTTGACTAGACTGTAAGTTACTTTCTAAAGTTTTTTTATTTGTCACATTAGGTAGATTTATTGCAAGAACTCTTTGAATATCTTTTTGCAAACAAGATTATTGTAGTAAAATACGAAGAGCTGTTAATTCTTTAGAGCTATGCTGTTCTGAGATGGTTAAATTAAAATTGGATTTGGTTTCTTTGATATTTCAGGGATCTACATAACAACAAGTTGACTGGTCCAATCCCTCCCCAAATTGGGCGACTGAAACGCCTGAAAGTACTGTATGTTCCTTGTGCTCTTACAAAGAAGATTGTTGATTTACTGTGTATTTTGTTTTTATGTCAGTTTATTGTTCTGAGACCAAACTCAGGATAGTATCCAATTTTCTTCAGAAACACAGATTTGAACTAAGAAGTTATGTGAGAGGAGTGTGGTTTGTATCATTATATCATGCCAATGCTTCCAAATACTTCATATAAACATTTTCTCTGTTGTTACTATTAGAAACCTGAGGTGGAATAAGCTACAAGATGTGATTCCTCCCGAGATTGGGGAGCTGAAGAGACTAACCCATTTGTGAGTACCTTGTTTCTTGTTTTAGCTTCTGATGATTCTCCAATTGGGTCCAAATGAAATCATGATTCTTTTCCTTCTTTTTTTATGTTTAAGGTACTTGAGCTTCAATAGCTTCAAAGGGGAAATTCCCAAGGAACTGGCTGCTCTTCCCGAGCTTCGGTATCTATATCTTCAAGAAAACCGTCTCATTGGTAGAATTCCTGCAGAACTGGGGACGCTGCAAAACCTTCGCCACCTGTAAACACCAATAGCCATTTTCTATGTACAGTTTGGGTCTTTATCATTACTCTCCATTGATTTTACTGAGATCAGGTTTGGTTTGTGTCCCATTATTTTTCAGAGATGTTGGCAACAACCATTTGGTGGGAACTATACGGGAGCTCATCCGTTTTGATGGAAGTTTCCCAGCTCTTCGCAACTTGTAAGCATCCCTTTGAATTTTCCCTTTGCTTCTCTCTTCCATTTGATATATTCGATTATGTACTACACTTTCTCTTTTTAAAATCTCGAATCATTAGGTACTTGAATAATAACTATTTGAGTGGAGGGATCCCTGCTCAGCTGTCAAATCTTACAAACTTAGAGATTGTGTAAGCATTCTACATTCTCCATGTCATCTGCAACAAACTATATCGCTAGATCTCTGATCTCTGTTTGATTGGTTTTGCAGTTACCTGTCTTACAACAAATTTATCGGAAACATTCCTTTTGCCATTGCTCATATTCCTAAACTGACATACCTGTAAGTCTTTGTGTTAGATCGCTGATCTTTCTCCTTGTCCCTGATTTGCTTACTATCTAAAAGAAAATATGCATTCTAATGGGATCATGATGTTGATGAAACCAGGTACCTTGATCACAACCAATTTACCGGGAGAATCCCAGACGCATTCTACAAGCACCCATTCCTCAAAGAAATGTGAGTTCTCACCCAATTTTTGAACCATAGATCAAAGCTTTGACTCAGACAAAACAGCGAAACGATCGAGTATAAGAATTTGAACAATGTGATCTATTATGCGCGAAATCCATTTGGATGAGTTTATGATGACTGGTTTGGCAGAAAAGTTGAAGGTTTTCTTTCTTCATTCTCCACTCTGACGATAAGGAGTTCTGTTTCTATTTTGCAGGTACATTGAAGGCAACATGTTCAAGTCAGGCGTGAACCCTATTGGTACCCACAAAGTTCTAGAAGTTTCTGATGCCGATTTTGCTGTGTGACCGGATAGAAGATTCTAGAGGTTCTCGAGAAAACGTCTCAGAACTACCTAGAAATGGTTCCACTATAGTCCTTCACTATTATTATTTTTTGTATGGTCTATCGATTTGCAAATGAAAAAAAAAAGCATAAGACTACAAGTTTTCATCTTCATATTGTATATTTAGACACATTCCACTAATCTATATTTCTCCTTAATCAAATGATTATACTACTGAAAGTAAAAAAGATATATTTAGATTGGAATAAACCACTTCCAGTATACAATAGTATGTGTTACATAGATAATATATACAATTGCCAAGAAATTTACGGTCTGTTCTTCAATGTTTGATTTTCACCAATAACCATCCTCTTCAAGAACAAGCAGGAGCATCGAAGGTAGGCAACACAATAAAAGAGATTGACAGCGGATTGATATAAACCGGAGATTTCACACCATGACGGGCTGGCTCAAGTTTTGGGATATCTCCGGTGGCCGTGGGTACCAAAGGGTTACCATTCAAGAGCATTATCTTGCTATGCAAGTCACCGTGTTTCGGACTCAAGTGATACTCTTCTCTGTTCAAATATCCATCCGAAGCTTTGTTTCCGACCCAAGAAACCTTGCTCTTGAGTGTTTCCAGAAAAGATTTCCTCTTCATCGTATCTGCTTGCAAAACAACATTCACGCCATTGCTGACTGCGACCGTAAACGTCGTGTTCTTACTCAGATTGATCAGAAGAATCGTTATACCCGCCTAAGATGATAGATTCCACTGTTACAAACCGAAACTAGAGGATGATTTAAAGACAGAAAGATAGAGAGATATACACCCACTCTTCTTTTGGAGCAATGAACGTAAGCTCGTAGATACTCCGAGGCAGTTGTCTGAACGCCGAGAACGCCTTTACCCATCAAACGATGCCAAAGAAGCGCGCTGGTCAGATTGTTCGAGATCAAGAAGTTTATGTTATGACTCGCCTATAGTTATCATGATGGTTTAGGATTTACAGTTTATAGTTTATGAACTTGCCTGTAGTAATCTGGATTGGGAACAAACGTTTCCTTTTCGAGCAGACCGTAGAAACCTCCAACCAAAGCTTGTCTGCAGTATACTTTGGTGTTATGCTTCGACGAAATACCGAGCTGGTCTAAGTACCTTAGGAAAAGAGTTCCATGTTTTTCGATTATAGAACCGAGCAAAGATAAAATGTGGAATTTGATTCTGTCTTACCAGAAACTGTTAATGAATGTCTCGGAAACCTGACGGCCACCGCTGTTAAAGGCTCCACCAGCTTCTCCAACCCAAGCAGCAGCCCAAGGTCCATGTTCTTGAATTGTTCGGTTTACATTGGCAAATGTTCCTGAAATTCCGCTCAAGTAATTTGGATCTAGTATCCTATTCACTAGCATAGGATCATTCCCTGCAACACTCAATTCATAATTGTTTAGGAATGATACAAAGAGAGTCTCTGATTGATTTATTTTGCATATGCAGCACCTGGACCAAGATTGTATATATGATGAGTCAGGACATCAAGAACACCGGGTCCAGAGAGCCGAAGAAGCTCCGAGTACCATTTTTCTTCAAAGAATCCACCTGGAGCTACAACCAAAGGCTTGGTCCGAGAATTCTTGTAAACGTTATTGATTACATCTTTCAGTAGAATCAAGTCTTTCCCATAGAGCTCTACACTCACGCTTGCCCAAATCCCGCTTCCACTAAGCTCGTTACCTAGTCAAGAACAAGAAAGAAACAAATCTTGTGTTATAGTTCTATATCGGAAGTATAAAAGGACCAACACTAATATATGAGAAACAAACATGGGCCAATCAAAAGAGAGATATAGTTGTATATACCTAACTCCCACGAGTCTATAGCATAACCCTTTGAGACTGTGTAGTTCATGAAATCCTGAGTGTTGGTATGATCCCAGTCTCCTCCCCACGCAGTTCCGTTGAGTTTATCTCTCCCATGC